GTAAGGATAAGGATAAAAAGAAATACAAAAATAAATAAATAAATAAAGAGAATTTTCAAAAAAGACGGCATAGGAAACAATGCTAATTAGCAAATAATGGTAACTTAATTGACATATGTATGCTAAACTGGTGATAATAAGAATATATATTTGATCATCTCCAATATTATCTTTAAAAAAAATTAAAATTTTAATCATAAACTCGTAACAAACTTCAAATTTATCCATAGGTAACCTCTCAGATTACCTGAGCATACTCTAAAAAAAAAAATGCTAGTTTTGGCGATTCTAGTTATCTTTTTTGTTCTCAAGTTCGCGAAACTTGCTTCGTACATATACACATGTATCTACAGAGAGACACTGTCAAAGGAGAATGTCGATAAACGTGGACACTTACTTTCACGGAAGCAAAAAATCATCCGATCTAATTTCATCGGTTTGATCATGTAATCTTTTATTCGGTTTGGATTTTTTTCAAATCTGATTCGATCCAATCCAATTTTTCTCAATTTAGATTGGATCGATTTTCGATTTTTTGAAAATCCTAAAATTTATTTTATTATTATTGTGCAAATAACATCATTTTGTATATATTGACTTTCTAATTTTTTTTTAAATACAAAAACATCAGTAAACAATAATATAATTTTTTTTTTGGACAATGAGATATGAAGCTCTACATGAATGAAATTTTGTTGATGGTATGTGATTAGATTTTTTCTTGGGTTTAGTTAATGGGTCTTGGGTTTAGAAATTTGTGGGCTATGATTGAGAAAAGACCCAAGTAGGTATAGAGAAATTAATAGATTGGATCGGTTTTCATTTACCAATCTGAAAATCGATCCAATCTAATTAAAATTTGTGATTTTTTTTTTAATTTTTCGATTTTCGATTTATTCAGTTATCGGTTTTTTGATTCGATTACTGCGGTTTGGATCGGTCGATCTATCACTTTATTTTTTAACTCACACACTATGACGTTACCGTCCAATTAATTATACATGCTCCTAATATACATTGCTAATTAATTATTAGATTACTAGTCGATTACACTAATTAACCTACAAAGTATCTCCAAAAAAATAATAATTAACCTACAAAGATTAATTTACACACTAATTAAATATTATAATAGTTAAATTAGTAATTAGTCATTTATTTGTACCCCTAACTGTTAATTTTTATACTGATTAGTGATTAGTTATTATTTTAATAACTAATATTTGCTGCATAACATGATAGTTAATTAAATTAACATTCTACATAAACTACCATAATTAAAGAAGACTGCTGTGAGTACTTAAATTTGACCGATTTTATCCCCTGTTTTATTAAAAATTTAGAATAAAAATGATAAAAAAAATTCTCTTTACCCAATGTCATTTTGTGAACTATCATTTTTTTGAAATAATAATAATAATTAAGACCTTTTTGTTTATTTGCTCACTTCGTATCTTTGTCCTGTTTTAAAATTGAATAGGTTTTCAAATTAAAGTAACTACATATAAATTTTATATCGATTTTTTTTCTCTTTGTATCTTCCTTTCTTTTATATAAAGAGATTTTCATTTATCTAAAAATTATAAAATTAAGCCTTAATAAAAAGCATTGATTTAGTGAAATTTTTTCTAGGAATAATTATAGTTACTGTTCAAGATTTAATTTCCATGTACATATTAGAGATTGATGTACTGAGATTTATTGGCTTTATGCACGATAAAAAACAGGTGTTTATCAACGTTTTAACACGTGGTTATAAAAATTTAATTACATCTCATGAACGTATTGTATTATTTTAGCCATATTTATTATTTTATTTGACAGTATTTTGTTTGAGAGTGATAATTTTGATTTAAATACAATTAATAATATATTTAACATGATTTAACGGAAGCTAATTCAATGATATTTAAAAAATAATAAGAGTTAACTATCTTGTACCATTATTTCAATTTTTAGGTATTTAAGGGACATTAATACCAATTTTGATCCTCCATTTATTTTCTCTTAAAACCCTCCTTTTGCATTTGGGGAACCATCTTGTGGGAAAAGAAAAATACATAAACAAATTAAGTTTGGAACAAATGCAAGATTGGATGTTTTCAAATTTCTAACAATAATATTAGAAAAATAAACGAGGGAATGAGGCATTTTAGACCAGGAGCTGCAAATGAATAATAAATTAAGCAATTTATTTAGTGTAATTTATTTAGTATATTAAGATAATGAAGGATATTTGTTAGCTCTACAAAAATTCATATTAGTTGTGTATGCTTTCATGAATACAGAGGAAATCCCTTTTCATTTACCACCATACACTCAAACAAAGATGATACGGAAAGAAATAAGATAATGTGATTAGACCACATCCATAAAACAAACAAGTGTAATTTAACTTTTTATTTTCACTTATAATATTTTTAGGGTTTATCTATTCTCAGATAATAGGCGAGAAATTATCTCTTGTCATATATATATATATATATATATATATATATATATATATATATATATATATATATATATATATATATATATATATATATATATATATATATATAGTGATAGAGCCCACCACTTTTAAAAAAGAAAACAAAACAAAATATAACACAATTTTTGAAGAGCATGTACAAGGGAAAACTACTCTCTTATAAAGTAGTTTTCCCCATATTTTTTATGTAATTAATAAGAAAATAAACTAGTATGAATATTGTTTTTTAATTTTTGGACAAAAATAATTTGTTTTCTCTTGATATAGCATACATTAGTGTTATAAAACCTGACCCGACCTGGCCGAGTCAACCCGAAATATGGCAAATTGGTCTGAGTCAATCATCGGTCTAACCATGCACCAAACCTGATAAAACTCGGTCAAATCCAGTCAAAGCTGGTGACCCGATCGGGTCATGCATTTTTATAAAAAAAAAAAATATCAAAGTTGTTTAAAAAAAATGTAGAACTCATTTAATTTTTTTTTGTAATTTTATTTGCTAGTAGTATACTCTTCTACAATGATCTCAAATTTCAGCTTCCAATACTGAAGCAATTTGCGAAATAATAAATGAAGAGAACGTGACATATGTCATTTCAATGTAAATGAATTTAAAAAATATGAGTTTTTAATATCTGGCCTTTTAAATGTTATTGAGAGATATGCTTATGGAGATTCTGAGTTACCATTTAAATTGACATAGTAATAACATGCATTTTCATTTATTTGTGCTTCATGAATTTATAAAAATGTGATTGAGTAATTTTTGATCTTATTTAGTGAATCTTGTTCAATTCATTTTAGATATGGAGAATATAAATATATTTATATGTTCATATTCATATATATATTTTGCTCCGCCGATCTAATCAGTGACCCACCAATCCAACCAATGATCCAGTACTCCGACCGCATCGATGCCCAAATCGAGTTTAATAACACAAATGTTATTTTTTGTTGTTGAAATTATTGCATATTTGGGCTTTCTTCTTGATGTTGGGCCTAAGCATTTTATGTTCTTTTTTATCAAAACAAGCAGAACTCAGTAAGGCTCACATCCTTATGTGCCAATAAATAAAATATATTTAAAAATGGAGCATTTAATCTCATGTTGTAAGAGATACTCTTCTCATGTTATAGACCCAACACATGGTGGGTCTTATGTGTTAAAAAATAAAAAATAAATAAATAAAAAACACGTTTGTCCATGTATCTATTACATGATAGAATAATTTTCCATTTAAAAAACACGAAGTTATATAAGTTATCCAGTTTCTTCTATCTGTGGAACGTTAACCTGCATTGAAGAGAAGAGGAGCTTCTTGATCATACCAGGTAATGTAGCAGCTAGCAGTAAGGGAAACTGATCGAAGAGGTGATTGATCATACTAAGAAATGTATCAGTATGGCAAGGAAGACAGGTCTATATAAACATCGGCTCCGCCGCATGTACGTATATGTATATGTATACTCTTCGCTCCCCTCCGGCCCTGGCTAGCTAACTGATACGTTGCGTAAGTCTTCAAGGTGCACAAGTGCTCCAATTCACTTGGGCCAAGGATTTCTCGGTGCATGCATAAGTAGGACCATCAGCCCGTGTATATCATGCATATATATATATATATATATATATATATATATATATATATATATATATATATATATATTCCTGTGTACGTTATTTATATAAATAAATGTCGGGGATATTTTACTAGCAGCTCGAGTGCATGTACTTTGAGTAGTAAGGATCTCTATTAGTGGGATAATTATCTTGGCGTTATCTGTCACCTTAATTTACTGGACTGTGTAACTGTGCATAAAGGGAATAATAATGAAAATATATACTTGAATGTTTATAATTATTATTATTTTTTTTTTATACAAAACAAGTTTCGCTGGGTAATGCGTACGGCAGTACTAGACAATTACGCACTGACATTTGTATTTGGTGGTAAAGAAATTTGCTGGATTCCAAGAAAGTGATAAAGTCATAGTGGAGCACGTGATAAAAAAAATCATAAAAGCATAAGTGATTTTAAGAAAAATTACAAGGGGTTTTGGGATTTTTCCAAAAAATAAAAATAAAAAAATTATCTCACCAGCAATTATTCATCGAATTACTCGCAGTTTTCCTAAAAATTTCTTTGGAACCAAGTCTCCTCGTCTAGGTATTAAGTATAAGTGAACGTCAACAAATTAAATGATCATATTACAAAAAAAAATTATTTAAAAATAAATGATCTGAAGCTTTTCCTACTTCTAATAAATATTTCAACCCCCAACTCCTAATTTTTTTTTAAATGTTTAACCTCGTAGACTCAACCTTAATTATAAACCTAACTCTCCTAAACACAATCATGTAGAAAAGAAAATTAAGTAATTCTTTTTTTTATTCGTTTACAATGTCTAACGCCTCGTTGGAAAGAAGTATAAGCTAATGTATAAACAAAACAACCATAGTAGAACTTCGAGCCACGGATGAAGCAGTCCTAATAAAATATTAGTACTGCATTAGTTAAGTCACTAGGATGAGTAAATGATTTAAATGCGTAGTATTTTGTCAAACTTACCTCTTTAGGCCGTATCAATAATAAGCCAGCGAAACGATTAACTTATGAATAGCACGAGAACCAGAAAGTTCTAAGGCTAGGGAAATTGGAAAACTACTTATCTACACATTCTGACAATCCACATAGTTAATACATATCCATGAATTACTCGAGCAAACTTCGAACACAATTTTGGCAGAGCTTGCGATTCTCTATTATATCCTGAAGCTTGTCATTCATGGACTTGGAAATTGTTTTGGGCTTTTGGCCTTGAGCTTTCATAATTTTCACATTATATGCGAACTTCGCTTAAACACACTTGCAATGAAATGTACACATGTGGCTACCAAATTGTGAGATAACATCCACAAGACATCCATATCCTCCAACTGCCATAACCTGAAATGAATAATGCAACGAATGATGCAACTATGCACCAATATATCAAATAAAGCAGAAAGTAACAAGGAGCCCATGCAGCCAGCTTGAGCTGACCAGTTAGTAATCTCAACGAAAGGTACTAACTTCATCTCAATAGCAATAAGATTTTGAAGCAGAACATACCCCTACTGGATGTAAGGAGATAGAAAAAGCTGACGGAGGAGCACACTGTATTTGTGAAAGGATCACACCGTTCATGTCAAAGCGATTGAGTAGAGGATCTGCACCAACTGTCAGAATCTGAAACACAAATACAAAAATTAACAAGGATGATAGTAAAGCTAAAGTAATAGTGAGAACTATTGATATTATAAGAACTCAGAAGAGGCCTACAATTCGCACATGACTGATACTGAAGATAATTGCAATACTTACGGTTGACAGAGGAGCAAAATACACAAGCAAATTTGCACTAGAAAAATCTAAGGGCTAACAAACAAAAATATAAGGAAATAGACCAAGGGCACTGAAATGTGAATTTACAGCATAATAAATTTTGAAGATTACCATACCAACTAAGAGTGGAAACTTATTCTTGCTTTTTCAAGATTACAAATGACCCCATCTATTTTGACACCATTACCATGCCAGTACATCAGATATAAGATCAAATTATATTTAAATAATTAATATTACAAATAACATTTGAATAAAATGACATTGAACAAATTAGGATGGGTGCGAAAAATATTTCTACATATACAGAACATGAAGTCACTTTTAATCAATCTGAGAGAACACAAACTCTAAGAAATCTTTAAATGAGAAACTTCTAAGAATCAGTAAAGTCTACAGATATTATGTTAAGAACCCAAACAAAGAAGAATTAAACAAAGAAAGAAGGGGGGGAGCTCCGCGAACAATGTACATAAAAAGCCTTATTATAAGGCTAATGATAGTGACCATAGATATTTGGTTTAGGTAATATAAAACTCCTACAACTCTCTGATGCGTATGATAACTTCTCTTTCTGTCTCTCCCGAAGCCACCACGACCAAATAGTTTGACCATCTTCAAAACAACTGAAGAGAAAAGAGAGATAGCGAACTCACTTGATTGTTATCAAATAACATGTCCTGTACAGAAGCACGAGTTGAAATCTTTGATATGCACTCTGAAGCAGGAAGGTTCCAAAGTGATATATTCCGTCCACTACTGCAAGCCTACAGAATGGTGACAATGGTCCCTTAAATATTTCGAAAACCAAGCAACAATAACAACATACACACCATATTTTCCAATGCATGTGTGCATTTCACTAATTTGCCTACAGTTAATGGACGACCTTAAAATGTGAAGATTATTCTGGTCAGAAATATGATATCGTTATTGATGAATAGAAAATTTATTAGCAAAAGTAGCTTTTCCATATAATAATAATAATTGCATATGGTTATCCAAGTTTTGATTGTTAATACACCATATACCAATAACAAGGCATTACATGCCAAACTATTCTGGTTTCCAAAATCAAAAAAGAAATTACAAGTGAAATCATTATCTAATATCTGTTCTCATAATGCATCTGTAGGTACCCCAGCAACGATCAACATTTGTCTGAACATTAATATTTCTTTTACAATTTACCATATTAGAACATATAGAACAAAAATATGTAGGAAGAGGCAAGGAAATTATAAAACAATAGATATGCTCTTACCAGCCAGCTCTCACTTGCATCCAAAGCAACACACCCAACCCAGGAAACAGATCCTTTTAACTTCAAATCTTTTGCTGGATCAATCACATTGATACACTTCCCACTATTGCAATCTAGAAAACATAGTCAATACACCAGAAAAACATAAGTACCGATAAAACTGCACCAATATATTTAAGGTACCAATCAATTTACATTAAAAAAGTAACATGCTTGATGTAGCTTGTCCTGCTTTAGTAACAGGTGCGAAAAAAACAAATAATACCCCAAATTCGTGTGGTCCCATCCTCTGAACCTGTTATGATCTGAACATTGATAAGAAGGAACCAATAGTTAAAATCCCAGACAACACATTGTGGACAGGCAAAAAATTAAGATTACAAAGCAAAGGAGAAAAGGCAACAGAGAAGATGCTTTAGCAGTCAAGTCAGGGTTTTAAAATACTTGCTCATATATCCTCTACCACTAGAAGAGTAATGGAACTGAAAATTCTATTACTGGAGTAATGTTTTTACAATTTTTTGTAGAAAAACTATTTTTACACAAAAGATCTGTATTTTGCTCATATATCCATTACTTTTATCTTAATTGCTTATATGTCCATAAAAAAGTACGCCAATTCTTAAACATCAAATGCAAAATTCCTGAAAATAGTTCATAAACAAAATTTTTGAAGGAGAAAGATTGTCACTGTTAGATACATAAGGATATATCAGGTAGTCTGATTATTTTAGTTTTGCACTATGATGCAACAATACTTCAAAAAACCTGACGTGTCGTGTCCGACATTTCCCGACACTCTAACACACGTTGCAGAGATTCAAAAAAGGGTTCAAAGGTTGCATTGCGCTTTTAGTTCCAACTATTAGATTCGTTGGATTACAATTGTCATTTTATTGAGTTTAATATAAATATTTGTGATATCTTATGTTTCTTTGCAAAATTGATGGGTATTGTAAAGAACCTTGGAATACACCACCCCAAAATATGTCTCGAGCTAGCTTTTGGGGTGGTGTATCCCAAGGTTCTTTACAGGTATTATAAGTTTAACTTAATTTTTTTGTTAAATTATTGAATATTAAATGTAATATACACTACATAAATTAAAAATATTATTTAATATCAAAACGTGTCCTAACATGTCGAAATCTAACATTTTTTAGAATTAACGTGTCCAGTGTCTCGTGTCGGTATCGGTGCAACATAGGTTATGTATCATTAACTTTATGTGTTGTTATTTAATATTATTTTGTACAGATGTAAAAGCTTGTAGAACAAGCTCTCTTTACTTGATAAAGTTCAGAGCACAGTGTCTGAACAGGAGACAAACTCCATTCTTCACCTTTGGGTTTATCTCTTTCTGTTAATAATCACCATCAAGTCAAAATGACAAAATGTATAAGGTCAAGAGTCAAGACCTGATTGGATGAGTTGCGCGCAACTATACAATGCAAGTAGTCCAAGTGCCCCTTGAATACCATTTTTACTTTACCAGTTTCCTACAAACATTAACACATATCAGTCCAGCATCAATACAGTTAAAACTATAAATCAAATTATCCCAAGAAACTTCCTACAAAAAAATTATATTCACCTTCCATGAATACATACCACATCCCAACAATATGCACAAGAATCACCGGAAGCAGCAAAAACAGATCCACTCTACAATTAAACAAGAAAATATAGACACAGACTCAATCATAAAGTAACAGACAAATTATCATGACAAAAGGTAAAAAAATAAATTACAAACCTGAGTATTAACTGCAATAGCATTATTCTCAGGGATAGGTGAAAGTGCACCCCAAGGACCTCTGAAAGACAACAATATGTGGGCATATAGATGACAATCAGAGAATTAAAAATAGAGGAACAAAGGAACTGCTGATACTATACAATAAGTTACAAACTTTCTGCACATTCCCAGATTGCACGAAGAATCCCCTTTTTTTGACACTTTTTGAGTCAGGCAAATACCACAAAACATTAACATTAAAAAATTGTCAATCACGTTCACAAAAGATAAACAAGAATTGTAAACATCCAAGTTTATCTCCAAATCACTTTAAATAATTTTTTTGGTGCAATAAACAATAAAGCCAAATGTGGAGCCCACATCTAGAAGAGTATATTCAGAGAATATACAGAAAATATGAACCAAATAGCAGTGAAATCAAGAAGGAAGAGGCATCCTCTTCCTCTGCACTAATAATAGGAAATAACTAGCTAAAAATGCTGAAGTATGCATCGATTCTCTGAAAGCTCACTTGTTTTGAGGATTCACCACATCAAGCACAGGCTTAATGTCATTTCCTGAAACATTAAGGGATGACATACATAAGACATTTTACAAATCACAATTTAAAAGTAAAAATAAGAAAACAGATAATGACATAGAAGAAGAAAGTGGAACTGAACAACACAATTCCTTAATCAAATCCAGCGCACAATAAGGGAGGGGATGGGAGAGGATAAAGAACATCATCATAATCCTTATATTTAACCAGACACTAATTTTACCAGAAATTTAACCGAACAATAATTTACTTATATTTGGGAACAAAGTCAAACCCTTGCTGCATCCCATCAATCATCTTGATGTCTCACATTTATTATTCTAAATTCTTATTTAAGAAAATGAAAAAGAGAGATGGAACTGTTAGAGTATTAGAATTCTTATTGACTTATCCTTTTGAGTCTTATATGTAGGTAGGGTTATTGGTCTGTTCTTTGTACTAGTACTACCCTAGATCTTGACCTAGAATATTAGTATAAATAGGAGTAATAGGTTAGTTAGTGTTTTATACCATATATATCATATCATCATGATATCATTGGGGTCGTATTACTCTCTTCTATCTTTTCCATCTTTACCCTATAATCTCAACAGGAATAAACATAGTAGTTAATTGCTCCGTAATAGCGCCGCAAGCCGCGCCGTATGGGCGTTGCGGTACCTCTCCTCAAGAAACCGCGCCGCCCCGCACTGGAATGCAATAGCGGCCATTGCGATCGCATTTGCGGCCATATTGCTGTCATAAGGCAAAATGTCAATTTTGTTCTAAATTTAAATGTGTAACAGAAAAAATTTAAGGGTTTTTTAGTCTATCCGCGTCTCTCTCTGTCACTTCTGCTATCTCTACCTTTAAAAATTGTTTCTTTTTGTCATATATCTATTCCGCTATTTCCGCAACTGCAACCCGCTATAACGCTATAGCATTTTTCGGGGTTGGCCGCGACATGCCGCAATCCGCATTTGATAACTATGGGAATAAATCTCAATCCTTATTAACCCTTTGCAATTCAATATTGAATTTTTAAACACAATGAATCAGATTTACTTTTATCATGCATCGAAAAAGAACAAGTTTGAGGGTCAGGTTCAATGTCAAAAGAAAATCTTGGAAGTTAAAATAAAATACTAAGATGGACTCCTTGAGCTAAGATTCATAGCTGTGGCATTTTAAATATGTACTCTTCTTCATGCAATAATCAGGGAAAAACGTAGAAGAAAAAAGAAGAAGCAAGTTGCTTCAGAGATGTAAAAGAGATTAAAAATAGATGTGCTAGTGCTCAGGCTAATTTAAAATTCAATTGCAACTATGTTACCTTGCAAAGAAACAGAATACTTTGAGCTAGTAAGCTCCTTCCATCTCCATCCTCGGATCCGACCATCATCACCACAACTGAAAGGCAATGCTACTGTCAGGAGTTGTACCAAATGGTAAACTAAACACCATCATTTATATCAATACATGTGACGGTTAATGTGTTTGGTTCATGCATGTAATCAGGAACAATCATTTCAGCAAGCATATGAATTATATTAACATTTTATGCCGAAAGTTTACACCAAATAAAAGAGAACCATAACATCTGCAAATACAGAACTCCCTAAATAGCCAGCAAACGGGAATGCCCTTCTCTTTAAAACAAAACCCTTAAATAGCAAGTTCACAAACTAGCTCATCATGCAATTAGTTCCTTCAAAACCAACCAGTAAATGCAAATACACATTAAAGCACAAATGCATAACACAGGGGAACATGATGAAAAAAATAAGAAAACTGGATTCAAATTTCAAAAATCAGAATGGTAACACCAATGTAGCTATTGAAATCCAGATCTATCAACTTGTGGCATAGTAGACACGCAAGATGATTAGTGACATCAAAACAAGAATACCATCTCATTTTAAATAGGTAAAAAACACTTTTCCCAGTGGGAAATAAGAAATAAAGAAGCATTCATGCAAACACAAATATCATGCTCCAACATTGAGCCTATCTTATAGACTATGTGCAAGGAGAAAAGAATCCCAGTGTGGTACATCATGAGAAGGTAGGAGGAGGAAAGAAACAGAGGGGTCAGTGTTAAGTAATAATTTGAACCTCAGCACCAGAGCATCTTCACCATCACCATAGAATTTGACATCATAGGCAGGTCCATCATGCGCTTGAAGGAAGAAATCTGGTTCAGCCAATAATCTAGTCCAATTGCATTGCACGTGAACACATTTAGAGTTAACCCTAAGACACAGAGAAACTGAACCGACAAATAATTAATTAAGCATAAATTCTGAATGCATACTTATCTGTATCGGTATTGATAAAACCAAACGGCTGCAACAAATGGAAAAACAATGAAATAAGAGTTGCTAGTTTCATCATTAATTAAAACAAATAAACCATAAAAGTAAAATGAAATCACAAGCAGGGTGAATGATTGATATTTGATATAAGACAAATTCGGTTTGAACTTGTCAGACAATGACAATTAAGTGCGATATCATTATGCCTATGCAACATTGTTAATGGACTCAATTTTTGCATTTTGATAATATTTTGGAGTTGAATAAAACCAAAGATAAACATGAAATGATCCCTCTTCGGAGTAAATAGATTTGAGCAGAAAGTTAAACAAGTATAATAATTTGATGATCTTTTTCTGTAAAAGAACTAACACTTTTGAGCTTAGAGGTAGAGATGAAAGAAGAGATGGAGTAGGAGGCGACGGAACCGTCGCTGGAGGCAACAATGAGAGCGTCGAGGTTAGGGTCTTGAGGGGGAGCCCATGCGGTTCGGAAAACGGTTCGCGTTTGAATCTCCCTCTCCTTCAGTACGGTTTCCCTGTACGCATCTTCGTCCCAATTAGTGGCGTCACCGCACATTGCAACTCGAACCTCTCACTACCAACCAACCAAACCACCGCTCAGGTTTTCTTTCTTCTTAAGTCCCTTCAAGTTCAACCCCTCCGCCGCCGCGTGTTAGATATACTAGCAATGCATTCAACGACGACGTTTGGGAGAGGATGATTGATGATGACCCGTGGATTCGGGCCGGACTAAATTTTAACGGTTCGACCCACTTTTTGTTGAATTGTTCATAAAAACTTAGCTAATTAAAAAAATTAAATATTTGTGCTAGCATTTTTATTTGAGTGATACCTTTTAGGTATTTATTTTTATTCATATTTTTTATTATTATCATGCTTTTTCAATTACTTTTTTAAATAATTGATTCAAATTAGTAAATGATTAGTATTTTTTTATTTGTTTAAATTTACGATAAACAATTATAATAGTTAATCTTAAATATAAAAAGTACTTCCTCATTATAGTAATAATTTTTTTAGGATTAAACATGTCTTAAGCCCAAAAAAATAAGGCTAAACACTACAATACTTCTAGGAGGTCTACATGCCAACACAATATTTGTTTACTTCTTAAAAGTCAAAAGTAAATTATACTTTGATTGTAACATCACTGTCTCTGCTTCTTGTTTCAATACAAAATATAAATCTATAGTAAATATTTGGTGATCTTGCATTAAATAAGAAAGAACTATAGCCTTCTCCCGCTAAATAGTAAATATAGTTCCTAGCCGCTGAATAAGGTTATTTGACCATTTTGCCCTTCATTAATTAATTAATAATTATTTTGTCCATGATTCGAAATTATTTACTAATCTGCCCATCTTTAATCGACTAACTCGAATTTTTAATCGACTAAATGGTTGTTGGGAGATTTAGTCGACTAAATTTCTCTACTTAATCAATTAAAAAATCATACTGACTTGTTTTCCTTTGTTGTTTGTTGGGAGATTTAGTCAACTACATAGGGAGATTTAGTCGACTAAATCTCCCAGAAGCCATTTTTGCCTGTTTTGACCATTTAATCGACTAAAAATGCAAGGTAGTCGATTAAAGAGGGGCAGATTGATAGATAGTTTCGAATCAGGGGCAAAATAATTATTAATTAATTAATAAGGGGCAAAAGGGTTAAAAAACCCGCTGAATTATAGAGTTTTGTTTTATTTTTTAGGTTTAAGGTCAAATCTTTGAGAAAAAAACTGATATTATTGGGAAGTAACTTTTATATTTAAAATTATTAATTGTAAGTATTTATCAGAAATTTTGGATTAATTTGAGAAAAATAAAACTCCTAATTTATTCACCAAAAAAGAAAACTCCTACGTTGGTTGTAACTCTTTACTCAAATATATTCAAAAGATTAGAATAAAAATTAGTCAAAAAGAGTGACAATAGATAAATAAAAGTGATAACAAGCACTTTCATAAAACATTAATAAATATTGATTTTCATAAATTGATGATTTTAGTAAATTGGTGATTCTATAAAAATTCAAATCATTGTTTTTCATGTAAAAAAAATTACATATGATTGTTAGGTTTGTTTTAAGCGATACACTGCCACCACCACCACTTTTTGTTTTTGCTTATTAAAAAAGATTATAACATCAATATTATCCTCTCTCTTTTTTGGGGAAAGACATTAATATTATCCTTAAGTCTTAAAAAAGATTTGGATTGGTGCTAAGTAAGCTACAAATTTGTGCAATATTTCCTTTATATAACCTTTTCTATGCATCTATTATTATAATATTTTGTAAGTTTGGATATGCTTTTTCTTCTTCTAGATATAATAATTTTTTGTTTCGGTTCCCTTTAACTTGGTTATATTAAGTAATGATGGGAGAGGCATAATGGCACATATTGCCACATCACCAATCTCTTTCTGCCATGTTATTTCCTCCTTCCAATTCCTTCTCCACCCACACCCACATTTACTGAATTTTCAAAACAAATTGGAGAGAATATTCCCATGCCACTGAAAACAGGGATGTACTTTTCAAACTATTTTATTTTTACTTGTCTTTTGTTGGGTTAGGTTCTCACTTCCCCTTATGGGACCTGAAAAGCACACACACCAACACACTACATTACTATTATTACAAGTGAGTAACACAACACCACCAACCTAATACAATAGAATACAGCTAAATTATCTTCAGCTTATTTCATATCTTGCAAAGCCTGATTCATACTATATTACTATGAATTTATCAATCTGCAGTTCTTCCTAATCTCTCCATCAGATCCAGTCTTTGGATTTATATTCCCCATCCTGATCATAGAATTGGCAAAGTCTGCAAAGAAAAGTCCAGTATTGTTGCTATAGCTTTGGACCAAAGGTTTAGTAGTGGAATTAGCCTCATCACTAGGAAATAAAATCTGGTCAGAACTAAGAAGGCCCTTCCCATTGAGCAAGTTTTTGAAGTAGTGGTTGTCAAATAGATCCGATGAGTTCCTATCAAGAACAGCAGTTGTGTTTCCATCTCCATTTTGAGGACACAAATTTTGCAGGTCAGTGAGCATGCTAGTGTCTAATGTACTGTCTGGTGAACCTGTTCCAGAGAAGTTGAACAATCTATTGCTAAACAATGCACACCTTGCTCGTCCAATAGTATGAGCACCTTCAAAAATAATTGATTGAACCAATATATAAATTAGTTACCATATTATAATTGATTGAAGGGATGGTGAATGAAGTTCACTATATTATTACCTGATAAAGAAACAACGTCTGTGAGATTGAGGCCTGCAACAGTAAACTTTGAAATGATAGTATCAAGTGGATCAAAAGGAGAAGGAAGCACCAGATTTGCCAGTGTTCCGTTTGAGATTGTTCCATCTCTTCGTCCTAGCAGAACATTCCATGAAGGACCACCACTCTACAAAACATTTTGGCTGATATAGTTAATGCTAAACACAAATTTTCCTTTTAAGAATAAGTTTAAAAGAAAGTAATTAAGCCTATATTTTAAAGGAAGTTAGATTCATTATAGTTCCTTGTAAATGAATTTACGTTGGTTAGAAATGAACTAAGTAAGAATTATATAACTTAATTTAATGTTTTAAGATTTTGGATCGAGATATGGTTTCGAGTTTATTTATTGTGATGGGTTGCTTGTGTTGCCAAACATTGGTTGGAATCATTCATATTTCATTCCCATGCATGTTCCTTGAGTTATAAACGATAAGTGAAATTAATTTATAGAGAATAGTGGGATTTGAATATAATTACTAGGAAAACAGAATCTCTGGCAGCTATGGCTAATATATCAGCACAAGAGACAACCCCGCTACATGCACTCTCCACGGAGCTTTTGATTGTATCTACAACATCAAATCCCCTAACGGAGTTCACGTTAGGAAGAGCAGACTTTTCACCATTGTCACCACCATCTAATAGTATTGATGCATCACAACCCTGACGATCAAAGAAAATTTTTTAAGATAAAAATGAAAACAATGTGTATCAGATTTTGATACAACATGATATATTGAAGGAAGAATACATTTCAGTTTCAGTGACTACTCATGCTTTATATGAGAATGGAGCTTAATATCTCTACCTCAATCCTACCATACCTTAATCATTTGAGTTATGCCCAAGTGGGGCTTATGAGTACTCCAACTTAATAAGTATTCTATGTCAAGTAATAAATTGGAATGCCTAATAATAACAGTATTTCGATAAGATAATAATTTTTCTTTGGGTAAATCTACAAAAATTCCTTGAACTTTACGATATGTGCAGTTTACTGACAAAACTTTCTGCTGATACATTACATTAATATAATCTATCTAAGCATGCAATTTACTCCCCCATAATTTGTACGAATAAAAAAGTTTTTGAGGATAGATTGCAACTCTCTTTTTTAACAATTTTTTTGAGAAGTCTTGATTTCCAAAGAACTTCAAACTACAATACACTAGTAAAAAAATTAGAGGAATTTTTTTTTGAGAAAAAAATTATCTTGTATAGCTGAATGACCAATTCAAGAGATAGAGGTTATATATCCGGATAAGCATAGCAATTTTAACTGAAATATATGCATGTAATAAATCAAACAGCCATGCATATATGTCACTTAAACTTACGTTGACAAAGCAATCATGAAAGTGAAGACGAATCAAAGAAGCACCCATTCGCATCTCATTTATTAGAGCTTTTTGAACCTCTCTCCTTACTATTTTGTAAAGGTTAGGACAAGATGACTTATAGAAGTCTGTTGTCAGTTGGGACCTTACTGTCAAAACCAACAGGAATAGATTGATCAGCCAAAAGATATAATATCTTGAGCTACATGACCTCTTCATTGTTAATTACTTTGCAAGGATGCAAATTATACAAGAGAGTACTGCCCCGATGAATGTGGAAACCTAGCTACAGGCTTAATTTATAGACAACGATACCAGAGATATTACATTTATATATTCCCATAAATCACCACTTACCTTAATTTGCTTCTCAGTGCTGGTGCTCTCAAGTTGACTGAATTCAGCACTTAATATTATATATATATATATATATATATATATATATATATATATGGTGCAGGATCATCTTACACCGGTGTAAGAATAATAAGTCTTACACCAAATCTTAACCATTGATTTTTTACATCTAACGGTTAAGATTTATTAGGTCTCACTCATTAATTAATTTTTAATTTCCAATAAATCTCAACCATTGGATGCACGGAAATCAATGGTTAAGATTTGGTGTAAGATTTATTATTCTTACACCAGTGTAAGTTGATCCTATCCCTATATATATATATATATATATATATATATATATATATGAGATAGGATCCTTTGACACCGGTGTCAAATTTTGAAATTTAACACCAAATCCCAACCGTTGATTTTCGTCAATCAACGGTTATCATTTATTGGGAGTTACACTTATTAATTAATTACTAATTCCAATAAATGATAACTGTTGATTGGCGAAAATCAACGGTTGGAATTTGGTGTCAAATTTCAAAATTCGACACCGGTGTCAAAGGATCATGCCCTTATATATATATATATATATATATATATATATAGGTGCATTTGCAAAGAAATTTTTTTCGAGCAACTGATTATATATGTATACGGAAAGTATATAATTATAATAATAAAACTGTTTTTTTTTTCTTTTCTTATACATTGTTGGCTGAAGTGGCGGAAAGAAAAAAAAAAACAATTTTACCATTACAATATGTATTACCCATAATACATAATATAAATGATGGCAGAATTTTTTGTGTGCAGTATATTTCCATATATATTATTTAAAAATTATATACGATGTTATTTTTTAAACATTTATTATTATTTTATATGTGTAAAAGTATTTTTAATGATATATGTATTTCTATCATAATTCTCACAACTTTATACATATCAAATAATGATACTAGTATCTATAATAAATTGTATCTAACAAAGAGTTATTGGAAATAACAAGGGAAGAACCACACCTCCTAAAACCACACGTACCGCACTAACTCAGTTAGAAATAGAATGATATAATATAAAAAAGTGACCTCGAATAACAAACATTCAATTAGTATATTATCGATCTCATATTCACGCATTAATGTGATGTTATGCTGCAATAGTTATCAAATTCTATGTAATTAATGGATAGGTTTCTTCTCCAAGTTCATGAATCAAGACACATCAGGTATATAATATAACCCTTCAATTTTCCAGATTTTCAAGTTGTACAGGCATTAATTAATTAAGATCCTTTTATTGTTTTATGATGAACCCAAATTTGCTTAATATATATATACTCATGCATGGTGCTTTGCCTGTAGAGATTCCATTAATTTGCTTACGATGGTAACTTTATATCACGAACCAATCAGAGCTTCCTGATGGACCGACATTGGATGACGATTAGATTTCATTCTTCGAGACATCACTAAGTATGTGAGAAGCATTATGCTGGAAACTTGTCTTTATTATCAATATTCAATGAAGTTTATTTTCCACTTGTGCATTCCCTTCCTATTTGGCAGAGCCACCCTTACAGAAGGAGAATATCACTTTTTTTTTTTTTTGGTAAATGAAGGAGAATATCACTTTTCTAAGACTACCTCTTCCAACAAATCAATTTAATTAATTAAAAGCTTGAAGACAGATAGGAAATCCATTAGGATTGATATGTATTTTATACAATAATAAGCACGTTTTTAACTTGCGCGCGAATTTGCAATTACTTCTAGGCGAAGGTGGTGTTCCCTTGTTCAGACTTGAAAAGGAGTACTATAAGAACGACGAGTTTCTCCTAGGAAGCACTACAAGACTTAAAAAAAGGATTAATTGATTCAGTGGTAGTCAATGCATATCTTTTTTTTTTTTTCTTTTTTTTTTTTTATAGCCGATAGTGCTTTTGGCTCTATCTTCATTCACAAGTTTAAATAGGTATAGTTTACTGTTACATTGCTCAGAATTTGACAAGTTTGATCAAAGACACCACACTTTCAAATTGAATATGCATTGGATAATATTAAAGGCCGTAGTCTCTATCATTTCGCTATAAAATTTTAGTTTGAATAAAATATTACCGCCGCCAGCACTAAACAGAAGATTAGGTTGCATTACAAAGGAATAATCGGTAAGAACGAAGCCATTGTCACATGGGTGGCTGCTTAGATTACAAATAAAAATAAAATGATCATAATTAAAAAATGTTATTCGCACACTGAACCGTTAATAAGGCTGAGAGCCTAATATGTAACCCAGACTGGCTGGTATAGACCGAGACTGAAGACTTTGTACTTGGAAAACAATTCTCGCATATATAGTCGCACACCACTTTTATTACACTAACTAATTTAAGGAAAAAAGAGGAAAGTATACATTAAGAAAAAAATTTCTACTTAAAAAAAAAATGTGTATTAAAAATAGTGTGTTTTAGCCAGCCCCACAAGAGAGGCCCAACGCCAAATACCGGTCCACGTCAGTCCTATTAATCCCTGCCATAGCAGCACTGCTTATATGGATTGAAAACTTGATGTCTTATATAAATTCTTCAATGATATGGGAATTGGAGCGCGTTTCATATTTTGCTGTGTTCACAACTTTGTACTTAAGCTATTTTTAATATTTTTTTATTATTGTAAGATTTATTAAATTTAAAATATTTTTAATTAAAAAAATTATATATTTAGCCACATTTATGAATGTGGCTAAAAAAAAATTTAGATAAAATTAGCCACATTTTTTTATTGTGGCAAATTATACAATTTAACCACATTTATAAAGTGGCTAAATTAACAATATTTGTGGCTAAAAAAATGCCACCACACTCAATCAAAATGTGGCTAAATAAATAAAATAATGCGGTTAAATTATTGCAATACCACTTTTAACCACATTCAATTAAAATGTTGTAAAATTTGTTAGCCACATTTGTTATCAATGTTTGCCACATTTTTTAATGTGGCTAAATAGAGTTTTTTTTGTAGTATAATGAATATGTAGTTATGTACATATGTTATATTCCGCAACCCAAAACCACATTGTTCTAATATTCAAGAAAAAAAATTCGATATTTTAAAAAATTTATTTCTTTCGTGTAATATGAATTTTCCCTAAACACTTTGCATAAACCCAAAAGGACAATTTTTTCAGTTATAGGATATATATTGCTTGGCGTTGTAAATGGCTTCCCCAATCTCCACTATCGACCTTGCTGAGAAGATCTTTCCTTACATTCTTCAGGGTTTGCCTTAATCGGAAAACTTTATTCCTGCCACTTCTTCAACTTTGCTTCAAAACGGTGCCATTGAGCGTTTGGTAGAGGAGAATTTTTTTTATCCGAGAATTTCGATTTTCAAAAATATGATTTTTACATCCAGTTTACATACTATCCGAAAATACAGAATTTAGAAAAATTCAATTTCCCGAAAATCCTGAAAAATTCTGCATACCAAACGCCTACTACTCTGTATAATCTGGCACTTTCGTAATCTATTTCCCCTTATTTATATTTAAATAGTTGCACAATCTGAATCCCAAAGTCTGACTTGGGAAGTACTATATATGTAGATTTATGATGGACCCGATTAATTCAGTATTAAGTTTATGTCTTTTTATCCCGTGAAAAATTGACACGCAATCGAAATAGAAAAAAGAAATTGACACAACGATTTACCTGGTTTATGTAATGTAAATTACGTCAAGTTTGTATGTACTATATTCTTTTTACCGACATCTTGTTACAAGTCAGGATTTAGAAACTCTGACAGCAATTAGCTTCCTATTGATCCTGCTAATAAGAATCGTCATCAAAATTTGAATCCACTATCCTTTGGATAGATTAAACCTAGAATCTAGATGGGTTGTTGTTAAATAGATCAACAACTCTTGCGTAGAAAGACATATTTTGAAGCACGGAAAATATATGTTTGCTTTACATGAAGTAAATGTAACTTCTAACCAGAACAAGCTCTTCCGAGGCAGCTGATACTCTGCTGGAGGTTTGACATTCCCAACCCTGCCTTTAAGGTACTAGTCAAATGCAAATAAATCCCGATAAGTGCAGTTGGAATCTTGCATACGGCATGCTTGGAATTGTGTGACAAAAAGTTGGCCTTCATCACGCACTTATTACTGCTCCAGACACTCAAATATATTCCCTTCGCCCCACTGAGGCAATTGTTACACATTCAAAAATTCATATTCCTTTTGTTCGATCTTCTAGAATTGCCTTTCTGAAATTTTCATTTTCCCTTCTTTAACGAGCATCATGCAATGCTTTGATAGTTATTTTGATGTTTGAAGCAAAATATATACACGAAATTTAACAAATGTCATCACAATCGCAGCTGATAGCTCCATGCATAACATCCGGTTAATGGCAATTCTTAATTACTAGCTATTGGTTTGAGGAATCAATAATTCTTGAGAAACTTAAATCGTTGCTTTAAACCTTTTGTTGAGCAAATAGAGTGGCCTTCCTTGAGCATCACGCAAAAATAAATTATTTGTTCGCACTCAACCGGAAACGTCTCAGAGGCAGACACGTGACAAATCTTTCTACTTAATCGTTTGTTCATATTAACTTACGCACCTTCAATGATTCTTGACTAAGTTTTTTATTTAATTGACAATAGAATATATGCTAAATATGCCAATATAAAACATCCCTTTCTTATAATGGTGTACATTTTCCAAAGTTTAATTAGCTTAATACCCTGCTTGGGGGATAATTTATGTTTTCACCAGGTAGCCATCGTTCTCCTTCTTTATTCCTTCATTATTAATTATTACTTGATTAGGACGGCCATGTAAAATTAATATAATATCCATGA